AAGAGTGACAAATGGCCGGGGCTGGGGGCTACCGTTCCCAAATTCTAAAGGAAATCAAGTAACTGCAGCATGAAACTTCTGGGTTAAAACCGCCTCGTTATCAAATGACTGGAAGCTGACAAAGTTAACAGGAAGCTTCTGGGAGTTTTGTGGGTGGAAGGATCACTTGTTTTTTAAGAAGAGATTCCAGAGGGATCCAGGGAACTACAGACTAATTATATTTTTCTGTAGATAGCAAACTGCCAGAAATTGTTCTAAAGCTGTGAAAACAACTGCATAAACATACTGAGGAAAGTCAGTGTTGCTTTTGCAAAGGAAAGTCATGTTTGATAAACATTTGAGAGTTCTCCTAAAGACTAAAAAGAGATGAGAGTAAGGAGATCTAATACAGCATGCTTGAAATTCTAAAAGACATCTGACACATTCCCCTGCCAAAAACCATTAAAGATGCTGTGCTGCCAAGAGAAGAAGTTGTCATATCAGTAAATTGTTTAAAGCTGGAAGAGAAAGGTTATGAATCAGCAGTCATTCTTTCCTAAGAACGTGGATCGCCAACAGAACACCACAGGCACCTGTGTTGGGGCTAGCAAAGTACACCCTATTTGTAAGGGTTCTGAGACAGCAACTTCAAAAGCCCACAGTATATTCCAGTACACTAAGTTACTCAAAGTAATAAAGGGATAAAAGAATTAAGAAATTGCAGAACCATCTCACTGAGCAAATAGGTGTTAAAACCAGCAGACTAAATTCACTGTAGATAAACGAGAACAATTCACACTGGGGAAAATGCAAAAAATCAGTCCTGAATACATATATAAGGAAATGGACTCCAAGTTGATCATTAATTATCCAGGAGTGAGTTATTTCTCTTATATAGCTTCTGAAAGCATAAGTGTAAAGGTTAGGAAAAGGCAAAACAATTGGGCATTATTTTTGGAAGCAATATAAAACAAAACACAAAACATTCTATTTTTCTTAAGATAAATCCACAGTGAATACCGTGAGCGGTTCCACCTGCTCCTCCCTCCTTAAGAAACTGGAAAAGGACGACAAAGATGATGTAAAGTAGAAAAGAGCTTTCCAGCAACAAGCAACTAAAAGAAATATGACTCTTCAGTTTGAAACAGCCACAGCTGAGGCAGGCAGGATACGACAGAGGTCTACAAATTCAAGAGCGACACAGAGAGAGAGAGCACAAGAGGGTTGTTACAGTGCCTCAAATGTAAGAACCCGCAGGCCTCAACCAGAGCTATCAATGGCAGATTCCAACATACCAATCACAAACTGCTGAGGTACAAGAGTCTGCTAAAGAGACATCACACCAGGCCAGACAGAACCCAAGTCTGACAAACAGGTATCACTTCTTAGAGTCGATGTACACAGCAAACGCTGAAATGGATTGCTGTTTTTAACTAGTTTTCAGGTCTAATTTACCAGTTCGAAGAAAAGGGGGAAAAAAAAGTCTTTTAAAAATATGACTTTAAGGCTACCAACACTTCAGTCTAGTCCTACAGCAACAGCAGTAATAAAAACATAGTATGTATTGCAGCATTTTTAAAAAATTACTTAGCAGCATGCTGAGATTCTTCTGAGGGTGTCATTCCAGGTTTTAATCACAAATACAAACTAAAAATGCCATTGCTAGTAACTTACTTAGCAGTTCCCCTACCCAACAAAACAAGTGATAATAATAATTATGGTCAGAACTCACTAAGAGGAAATTAATTTTAGTCTCTTAAGTTTGACTTCTGATCAAGATATGCCACACAGGCTTTGCCTGTAAAATACTAAGGACAGGTATGGGCAGCAGCCAAGTTACTGACATACTACTACTTGACTAGTAAAAATGGGAGTACCAGCTGTCCTTCCTCATCTTCAGTGCCCTCGGAAAAAATTCATCTATTCTCTGGCCAATTCCTCCTATCAAAGAGAAACGTAATTAGCAATTATATTTTTGGTGCAAAAACACATATGACACGTAACTTTTCACAGCAAATACCACCAGCTCTCTACAAAGAGATGACAGTAAGACAAGGACTCCTGAAAGGACTACCTTTAGTGGTATTTTATATTCCAAAGTAAGTAACAAAACCAACTGTAAAATCCCCTGAATATACAACCATTCCTTGTATTATTTCTCAATACATACCTGCGAGAAGCTTGAGCATGCACTGTTTTCTGGCACAAAGACAAAACTTCTCAGCTGCACAAATGAAGAAAATCTCAGCCTTTAAAGACTCTAAGTTATCATCAGTGAGATCTTTTCTTTTCGTACTTCGGTTTGTGCCAAGCCGGGAAGTAATTTCAAAAGCTGAATCAACATTTGGATCATGATGCAATGAACACTGGAGCTAAGAAGTGAAGGTCCTAAACCACATTCATAGTTTTCTTCGGAGATGATAAAAACATCAACTACCAAAAATTACTTGATCTCAACAGAAAAGCCTGAGGTCAAATTCTTGGTAGTTTTTCAGCAAGAGAGGAACACTCAGGATAATTTACAGCTGACTAATTACTCTGCTTCAAAAGCTGCTTTGATTAAAATAAATGGCTATTTTATTGACTATACATACATATTAAAGAGCATCAACGTAACAGTTGAACTGAGCATTCAAGAAGATACAGAGCAAACCACCTTGACTTCACACTCTGGAAGAGATACGTGTTTTTTAAATAGCTACTGAGTCAGCGAAAAGTCTTTTATGGGCAAGGTCTGCAACTGTACTGTTCACCAGCATATGTGCAGCTCAAACTCAGAATATTACAGAGTTAGCAACTCCAGTGACCCATCAACAGTCCTTCAATGTACACATGCAAGTGCTACTGGATTACATGAGTGCTGTACAGACATTCAAGAATGGAACTGAGCAGGTTTTGCCTTTAGAAAAACACACTGCATATAATTAAATCTCCTAAAGGCAATTCAGGTATGCTGAAAGTCTAGAAGCTCCTGGCTTTGTAGTGTTAGCTACAAACAAACAAAAACCAAAGGAAACTCCTTGCCACTTTGTAGGGACTAACTGATAAGAATAAAAAATTATGCAGTTCGCAATCTTCGCCCTACATGAAAAACTTGATGCAATCATACCTGCCAACTGATAAACATGCCTCCGCACTTTATGAATCTTTGTGTAACACAATAATTCGAATAAAATGTCCACTCTCTCCCAAATTGGAAAACATGACTTTATAAAAATATAGTGCTTTAAAAATGTATCAGCATGTTATTTAAAACAATGACTGTACCAAAACCAGCTCTTTTTCAAATTGTTACATACACAGACTTCATAATACCAAATGGACTCTTTCAGGTAGCTAAACATACACGCTGGACTTTACTGCTGCTGCATTCCTCCTCTGACTAAATAATATCAAGTCAATTACATAGATCAATCTTCAACTGATTTCCACCCCTCTCTCTTTAATTAGTATATATTTATGTATTACCATCATGACATTAAAGTAGGTACTTATTCAAGGTAGTATTTAAGTCAGAAGCTGCAATCCTCCATCTACAACTAGAGTACTCCCTGTAACATAAGGGGACTCTAGAAGAAAGACAACAGCTTGTGCAACTTCACGAGGCTCTCCAAATCTTCCAAGGAGAATTGCTTTCTTCAACTGATCTTCATCCAAATGAGCAGTCATCTCTGTGTGAACAAAGCCTAAGAGAGGAGAGATATTTGAAGAGTTACCTAACCTTCAACTAAATTTCTCTAGCGTATTTTCCCTGGAATCCTCCAAAGTAAAATCTACTACCAGGATTCAGCACCAGCTACCATTCTTCAAAGTCTCGGAAGTCAGTCCACATCATTTTAGAGCCAAGACCAATGTTTTACCTAACCAATAAAATGTCTTCTGGTTTTGGAAGCACTTATGTGACAACCAAAATGCAGATATCTATAGAAGTCCATTTAAAAAAAAAAAGGTAACTAAAATTGGGTCCCAAACTCATATTTAGTATCACTTTTCTGAAAGACAAAATACATCCATTTCACCAAAACGTTCTCAATAAAAGCACGAGTATGAAATCTCTGGCAAGAAACCCCTACAGCTTGCAAGTGTTTCCATTATATTTTAGAACTTATGACAGCAATCGCATAATTTCTATTACAGCACTCATTTGAAGAGTATTTCTTGACATTTTTGAAGGACATTTCTTTACAATTTTCAATTATCTGAGATTCGGTTTTCCCACCGCTGCTCTTCCCTTCACGTAAGCTGCAGCTTCATAAAGAGTTGATCTTATCTGCTTTCTAGCTGCCACCAAGAAGGGAAAGTCTGGGTTTTGCTTTCTACTGTACAACTCTGCCCCTTTATGATGGCTCTGGACCTTAGTGAGCTGCTCAACTCACTAAACAATAACAAGTATTTTTCCTGCCTAGTTCACAAGGTGAACTGGTTCATGTAGAGGTCTGGAAGGCATCAGAGCTAGCACAAGGTGGGCAGCAGAGTACACAGCTATGAGTGGAGAAAGTCAGAAAAGACAGAAGGGATTTCTCGTTAAGGGTGGTGGTTTGCTTGGACTAGATTGTCTTGTGAAATCACAGCCTTGTCCTCATGGAACTTTCTTTCCAGACTCTCTCCTTTTACTACAGGGATAGACAGGGATGCTTTCATGCCAGCTTCTCGTGGTCTTTCATGTTTCTCTAATAACAAATAAGCATTCTCTAGCAGGAAACGAGGGTAGCTGCCTGTCTATAATTAGTTCTCATCCTTCTGTCTGCAAGGGCAGCAGATTTTGAAGGAGGAACAAATGAAAAAAGACATTTATTATGTAATAATGGAGAGAGGAACAGGGAGACACACTCTTCCAAATTTCTCAGTGTTCCCTTAAAAAGACTGAAGGTTTTGTAAAAGAATGTATTATACTTTAAACTGGAAAAAAACAGATTAAAAACATTTGCTTACAAAAGTTGAAGAGAATAATAGCAATTTGTCTTAAGTTACTTTCCGAGTACAGCAAATATCCAGCAGTCTTGATGATCATGTACTACAACAGTCAAGGATGTGGGAACTTCCCAAAAACTAACCTGGAGCAACCACGTTGACTCGAATTTGCTTTTTTGCTACTTCTTTAGCAAGAGAGCGTGAAAATCCAACTAATCCTGCTTTGGTAGCACTGTATATACTTTGACCAGTGTTGCCTTTAAGTCCTACGATACTTCCTAAAATAAAGAAACATCAAAGAGGAAAAAAGATTAAATGACTAATTTGAAACCTTGCACTAGCTTTATCATTTTAGTTTTAAATTTGGAATGGAAAATGAGATTAAAAGGAATTAAAAGTATATTACTAAATGTACTTTATAGCCTACTGCTGAGATAAGCAAATCCCTCAATTACCTGTGATTCTTGTGGAATCCGTATATCTATGTTGACCAACAGGCACCAGGAGAGTAAAATGAAGAGCTTTCTTAAAAAAATATCCTTGCACAGAAAAAAAAAAAGAAACCAACTGTACCTATTTGAGTCTTAGTTAGTAACTAGCAGCTGGTAGATTTACATACTGAAAGAACTGATAAAGAATGGTAATATTCTTTTTTTCAATAAAATATAAGCTCTGAGGTGTTTATTACTGAAACAAGCTGGTTTTGCATTTAGAAGTTGCCAAAATTACACAAAAGAATAAGTATTCATCAAGAAATGCTAAATACAGGATGTCTAAATACAAAGAAAATAGTCAATTTACACCTGCTAAATCTTTCTAGAAAACTATTACATAGAATTCCACCGGATTAGACAAGAAACTTACCTATATTAACAATAGCACCTCCCTGTTGTTGAATCATACTTTTTACAGCAGCTTTGCATGTCAACATTGTTCCCAAAAGGTTAGTGTGAATCTGGGCTATCATATCTTCAGTCTTGGTTCTCAGTAACAAACCATCCCTGACAAACAGAGCAAAAAACCCAAAAGAACTCACTGAACAACCCCAATGATCACATTTACTCATAATAAAACATGACTGATGAATATTAATAGGGATTTATATGGTTCTATACATTCTAGCATTCAAAATGATGACATTGCAAGGATGACACATAGCAAGAAAAAATTTAGCTATGCTTCTGGCAACAAAGCCTCCTTTGCAGAGGTATCAAACATTGGTTTGGACTATTTCAGGGTGAAGAAGTGGAAGAAAGAGGAGTAGAGGGGGAACTCAAACTCAGAATGCAGAAACTACAGTGAAAGCTATATCATGTTAGAATTTTACCTTCATCAGGAACAAAATACTGGTGAGTGCTTAATACTGTTTTCAGATGTGCTCAATAACAATATTCTTACTAAATGCAAAGGCCCTTAGCACCTTATAATAAGATGCTGTCATCTAGAATTACATATAATCTTGCAACGAATAACTAACCTGTTGATCCCAGCTGCATTAACCAAGTAGTTAATAGGACCTAAATTCCTCTGCATCTCCTCAAAAGTATTTTGGACTTCTTGTTCGCTGGATACATCACAGCTAAGTGCCAGATGTCCTGCTGTATTGAAATAAAGGCACATCATAATAATAGTAAAAGATGGTGTTCCATTCATAAACCTTCTTCAGAATTTATCAAGTTAATTGCTAAGACAGATGTTGAACTAGTAACTTGAGGAACCCATTTAATCTCCAGAGAGTTAAATAAGGACAATTTTCAAGTATTGTATTGGTCAGTTATGTGACAATTTCTTGGTTTATATTTTGGCCTTTTGAAATCAGAAGTTCAGCATGAGCAGACTGGTCTCTGTTCTGGCTTGGTCAGGAGCCAAGGATGACTCAATTCATACCACCTCCCTGTTGTGACCTTGAACAATTCCTTTCATCTTACGTATTCCATCCGCAAGATAGGAACTGTAACATACTTAACTTTCCCAAAGAATACTGTGAAAAGAAAATTGTACTGATACAGCTTTTCTTTCAAATTTCTCAGCCTTTACTTTCATTTTCATCTAGTTCAACAATGAGGTTTATTTTATGACTTACTCCTTTTACAAGTTACCTAAGCATTGGACAGTGAAGAAAGTATTGCAAAACAGCATACATACCACCAAGATTACGTGCAGTAGTTTGGGCTACTTCCAGATTTCTAGCAATAATCGCCAGGCGGCAGCCTTTCTGTGCCAGTAATTCTGCAACAGCTTTTCCTATTCCTCGGGATCCTCCAAAAATGGCGCAAACCTTGCCCATCTTCAAAAATAATTCACAAATTGCAAATAAACTATGAATTTCAGGTCCAATATAGCAGAGAATAACCACTGTTCTTGTCAACATCACAGCCCTTAACTAGTCTGTAGCATTTTGTAATATCGGATTATAGAATCAGTGATTTGTTAATTTTTTATTCACCAAAAAATAAATACTTGAACTAAATTAGACACCACCTCTACAAATGCAAGTTAATTCTTAACGATTTCTGAACTAGCAAAAAAATTATGCATGTAATCTAACATTTCAATACTAGTGTTACGATAACTCCTATTCAGTTGATGAAATATGCGATTTATGTATCTAAAGGTCATAATGTATCGTTCAGCTGTTCATTCAAAGCCAGCGTAGTAGTTGTAATTATATTGTTCTTGCAAGCACTATTCTTGTACTAAAGTCATTTAGCTTCAAGGTCTCACTCCATCCTAAGTGCATTGGACATCCACATTGCAAACACTACTGAGCACCATTTGATACTATTGTATTTACACTATTTTAATACTAAGTTACACTACATAGTATTATGTTTCACCACTAGCCTCAGGTTTTTTTGTTTCTGCTTTTGAAGCAAAAAAAGCTTTTTGAAACGTGAAATGATTCTGAAGTAGCTAGCTTAGATGTTTAGGAAGGAGTGTAAGAAGAAAGTACTTCTGTAGTATGCTCTTTTATTCTGCAACTTCTAGAAACCAATCAGCTGTTTTGGGATTTCCTGAGGAGCCAGGGGCAGAATCCAAGCAATAGTAATGAACCTCTTTTCCATACATTTGAATAAATCCTTTTTGAACCCAATTATACTTTGTCTCCAATAACATCCTGAGGCAACAAGTTTTATTATTTATGGAAAAGTACTTCCTTTTGATCTTAATTTGCTTTCTGATTAGAGAACACTATGCATTTCTGCTCATATTGTCCTCATACTGTTTGTAACTTCAGAGGCTACTCTTCTGCATTTTACCCCCCCCAATATCTTCTTTCAGGTCTATTTAGTTACTCTTATACATATGGAAGCCAGTCTGTATCTCACTAAAGACTGTCCAAGCTCTTAATCCTGCCACCCTACCTTTGCCTTACTTAGGTCTATTGTACCCTTTTTGATGTGTGATAACCAGAAGAGCACACAGTGTTAAGCATACAAGGACACCATCAACTAATACAATGGCATCATGATTTTGGTCTTCTGTGACAGGGCCTAGAAGAGCAGACGGTCCTTTTTGGTAAAAAAGCAAGCACAAGTGCTTGAAATCAACCCATGCATCTGCTTGCACTGGCAAGTTTAAATTAGCTTCCTAGGAGTAGGAAGAGGATTAAATACTTGTATCTCAGGTGGCGGCCCTTTCAAAAGAACATGTACAAAAAGATGTCCTGCATGACGACACTTCCTTAGTGATAAAAACAGGCACCGCTGCCTCACCAGAAAGACTAATCTTCTGGGTAGTCTTCATTAGGTAGGTAGGCTGCAGGAGATCAATCAAGAGGTCTTGCACCCCAGTAACTACAGCTCTTACTGCCTTAGCAGACAATGCATGTTTTGTTGACAGATTTTTTTGTTAGAAACAAAGTCTCAGTCTGCCTTCTCCATCATGACTGAGCTCTTCTTTTACAGAATTCCCACAGTGACTCTTGGAAGTTCTTGCCTACTTGTCGCAGCAATGTGTACTATGAATTCCTCCTTCATATTTTGTTCTTACCAGCTCTGAGCATACCTACTCTCTTATTTTTATTTGAAACATGGAATATAGATTAGGAGGGATCTCTGGAAATCATCTTGTCTAACTCCTCTGCCCCTAAGCAATGTCAAGTGAACTATCTTATACTGTTTATAAATGCTGTCAGACCTATATGTATTTTCCAAATAAACCTGAACATTCCTAGCTACACAGGACCCAAAAAGCTGCCTAAGGGGTGAAAACTTCTTTAAAATGTATCATTCTGCCCTTCCTGGTCTCTTTGAGAAGGGAAAAAATATTAGTGATTCTACCGTTCTCGGAAAGAATAGTGAAAATCCCTTGTGCATTAACCAGGTATTTACAGGGGGAGGGCAAGGCCTACTTCCAACACAGCAATATACAATTTGTGTTTTAGCACAAAAGAGTCATACAGATTCTTTGGAGTTGTGACTTCGGAGAAAAAAACTGCAGTAGGACTAATAACCCTATATTCCCTGGTCAAATAAAAGTAGGGAAAAACAAGTATCTTTTGAGCAACAGGCTCTTCCAGGTCACCACACAGCACACACAAGCGCCTGTACCACCGTTGCCCTCTACGGTTCTCCTCTTCTTTCAGAACTACTTAATCCGCGAGCACCAGGGCTCCAATGGCACTGCTGCTAACCGCCTCACGGCACACCGCTCTAAATCCG